ATCTCTCCAGATTCCAGGAGGTGCCTGTGTGGGAGAGCTCTGTGCTGGCAGCAGAAGGGGCTGGAGTCAAATTCCCAGGACTTGCTGTGCCATTGGGAGCTGGAACAGCCTGACAGCTCTGTCCTGGTGCTGCTGAGCACACAGAGACACACAGGCAGGAGCTGGAGCTCACCTTTGCAGCCACAACGGGGAGAGAACCTCCAGTATTGTACCCATTTGCATCCAAACCGGCCCAGTCTCTGCTCTCTGCCTCTTCTTCATGGATTCATAGTCTGCTCAGGGGTTGGGATGGAGCTTAGAGATCATCCAGTGCCAACCCCCTGCCCTGGGCAAGGACACCCCCCACCAGAGCAGGTTGCTCAAGGATTTAGCCAACATGGAATGAACATTGCCAGAGTTGGAGCAACCACAACCTCCCTGGGACATTCACAGCCTCCTTGGGGCAACCACAACCTCCTTGGGGCATCCAAAGCCTCTTTGAGGCAACCACAACCTCCTTGGCACATCCACAGCCTCTTTGGGGCAACCACAACCTCCTTGTAGATGAACCAATGGACTAGGCAGAGCTTGGTCAGTCCATCCATGTCCATCCAAACTAAACCTCTCCTGGTGCAACTTGAGGTCATTTGTAGATGGACCTGGCAGAGCTTGGTGGGTCCATCTCTGTCCATCCATCCTCAAATGCATGAGATCAAGCAGGTCCATGATGACCTTTCTCTTTCCTTTCAGGTGCCTACCTGGTCCCATACCTTGTCCTGCTCATCATCATTGGGCTCCCCTTGTTCTTCCTGGAGTTGGCAGTGGGACAGCGAATCCGTCGGGGCAGCATTGGGGTCTGGAACTACATCTGCCCTCGCCTGGGAGGGATTGGCTATGCCAGTTGTCTTGTGAGTGCACCCAGAAGTCCTCTCAGACCTCCACTTCAAGGGCTGTGGGATGACTTTGCAAGCTGCAGAGCTTGGGGTGACCTGGGCTCCCCTTGTTCTTCCTGGAGTTGGCAGTGGGACAGCGAATCCGTCGGGGCAGCATTGGGGTCTGGAACTACATCTGCCCTCGCCTGGGAGGGATTGGCTATGCCAGTTGTCTTGTGAGTGCACCCAGAAGTCCTCTCAGACCTCCACTTCAAGGGCTGTGGGATGACTTTGCAAGCTGCAGAGCTTGGGGTGACCTGGAAACCTCATGGTTGGAGAGTAGAGCTTGGGGTGACCTGGAAACCTCATGAGGAGGTTGGAGAGTTCAAGGTTGGGTTTTCCAGCTCCACTCATGTGTTGGTTTGATGTTGGGTCCATCCACCAGGTCTCTGCCCAGTGGGAAGGGCACTGGGGACAGTGTCACTGCCCTGGGACTTGTCCTCACAACCATGTCCTCACTCCTTCCTCCCCTCCAGGTGTGTTTCTTTGTTGGCCTCTATTACAATGTCATCATTGGTTGGAGCATCTTCTACTTCTTCAAGTCTTTCCAGTATCCTCTTCCCTGGAGTGAGTGTCCCATCGTGAAGAATGGCTCAGTGGCTGGTAAGGGACAACCACTGGGGTCAGGGAGGGAGACATTCTCAGGGGAAGGGGCTGGAGGACACTGGGGACACCCAACACCACCACCTTCAACAGCTTGGGGACACCAGAGCTTGAGGTGTCTTCTGGAGCACTTGATCCTCTCTAGTCCAACAGCCTTGACCACATGGAGATCATCCCCTTGGGTTGGATGAGTGTCTTCCATGCCTTGTGTCCTCATTGATGGGATTTGATGCCAGGTTGGGACTCCACAGTGTGGATCTTCAGGAGCTGAGCCAGGACCATGGAGTGAGAGCCAAGCGAGCTCTCCTGGCTCATGTGGAGGTTGGAGAGGTCAAGGTTGTGTTCTCCAGCTCCACTCAAACCTCATGTAGAGGTTGGAGAGGTCACGGTTGGGTTTTTCAGCTCCACTCAAACCTCATGTGGAGGTTGGAGAGGTCAAGGTTGTGTTCTCCAGCTCCACTCAAACCTCATGTAGAGGTTGGAGAGGTCAAGGTTGGGTTTTTCAGCTCCACTCATAGGCTGGTTTGGTGTTGGGTCCATCCTCTGGTCCCTGCAGCACCACCAGATCTCTCAAACCTCAGGTGGATGTTGGAGAGGTCAAGGTGCAGGACTGATGGAGCTAATGGTGTTTAATATCATCTCAGCATCTCTTTGGGACACTCTGGGAGGTTTTATAGCTAATGCAAATGTCTCTCCCTCTACTGAACATCTGAGTTTCTCCTGGCATTGGGTTTATGTCTTCGTCTCTTCTTCTTCCTGCTAAAAATGAGTCCCATCAACTCCTGTCCTGGTTTCCAGAGGTTCCTGGACAGCTCCAGTGGGTCTTTGACACTAGATGAACCCCAAGAGACACTTGGTGACTCTCCTACCTCTACTTCATTGCAGTTGTGGAGACAGAGTGTGAGAGGAGCTCAGCCACCACCTACTTCTGGTACCGAGAGACCTTGGACATCTCCAACTCCATCTCAGAGAGTGGAGGCCTCAACTGGAAGATGACTGTGTGTCTGCTGGTGGCCTGGAGCCTTGTTGGCTTGGCCATGATCAAAGGCATCCAGTCCTCAGGGAAGGTGAGTGATGGTGGCCAACTGAGCCTGGTTGGGTTCTGTCCCTCAGGCAAGAACCTCCTGCTTGGACCATGTTGTCCTGCCCTGGTCTGGGGTGTCTGTAGGGTGATGTGTCCTCTGGGATGCTTCACAGTTGGGGTCATCTCTGGGGGGATAAGATCAAAAGAGGGTGAAGGGAAGAAGTTTAGCTCTGACACCTCCAGCCAAGGCCCAAGATCAAAAGAGGGTGAAGGGAAGAATTTTTGTCCAACTGACACCTCCAGTCATGGTCCAAGACCAGAAGAGGGTGAGGGGAAGAGGTTTAACCCAACTGACACCTCCAGTCATGGCCCAAGATCAAAAAGAGGGTAAAGGGAAGAGGTTTAGCCCAACTGACACCTCCAGCCAAGGCCCAAGGAACCTCCTGCCTGGACCATGTTCTCCTGCCCTGGTGTGGGGTTCCTGTGGAGTGATGTGTCCTCTGGGATGCTCCACAGTTGGGGTCATCTCTGGGGGGATCCAGAATAAGATCAAAAGAGGGTGAAGGGAAGAGGTTTAGCCCAACTGACACTTGACATGGTCCAAGGCTCAACCACATCAGGGTAACTGAGGCCACCTGAGCTTCATCCAAGGTGGGGATTGACCCTGTGTCCATGTTTGTCCTTCTTGCAGGTGATGTACTTCAGCTCCCTCTTCCCCTACCTGGTGCTGGTTTGCTTCCTGGTGCGAGGTCTTCTGCTGCGTGGGGCAGTGGATGGGATCATGCACATGTTCACACCCAAGGTGAGAGTCTCCAAGCACAGAAGACCCTGAGAAGGTTCTCCTGGTCTTATTTTTCCCTTCCCACCACAAAATTCAGAGGATCAACCCTTAACAACCTTGGAGGTCCTGATAGATCAGGATGTGGAGCAGCTCCATAAATCCAAGGTGTGGCCAAGACCTTCCCAATCCAGAGGACCAACCCTGAAGCTCCAGGTGTTCTGGAAGCAGGAGATCAGAGGAGGATGGAGACCCATCACAAGGTTCTCCTCTACCCACCTTGGGGACAGGGCTGCTGGGTGTCCACTGGGAAGCTGTGGAGCTTTGTACTGGGAGATGGAGCATCCAGCTTGGGCTCTGGGGCACCTAGAGGTATGGTCAGACCCCAGAATGGTTTGGATTGGAAAGGACCTTAAAGATCACCTTGTTTCAACCTGATCCTGGTGGATGATAGAACCCCAGAATGGTTTGGGTTGGAAGGAACCTTATAGATCATCTCATTCCCACCTGGTCCTGGTGGATCATAGGAACCCCAGAATGGTTTGATGTGGAAAGGACCTTAAAGATCTCGTTCCAACCCAATCTAGTCCCAACCCATGGTTGCTCCAAAACCAGCTCAGCTTGTAGGACAGAAGCTCTGAGATGAATTTTGGAGCCATTAAACCACCTAATGATTTCTTCTCTCTTCCTTCCAAGCTGGATAAGATGTTGGACCCTCAGGTGTGGCGAGAAGCAGCCACACAAGTCTTCTTTGCCCTGGGCTTGGGCTTTGGGGGAGTCATTGCCTTCTCCAGCTACAACAAGCAGGACAACAACTGCCACTTTGATGCCACCCTGGTCTCCTTCATCAACTTCTTCACGTCTGTCCTGGCCACCCTGGTGGTGTTTGCTGTGTTGGGCTTCAAGGCCAACATCATGAATGAGAAATGTGTGGTGGAGTAAGAGTTGGTTTGATTCTCTTTGGGGTGGGAAGGTCTTTGCTGCTTGTGGTGGGTCTGGAGGTGGTAGAGGGAGTGTTTTGGAGTTGGGTGATCTTGGGGTTTGGTGGACACAAGGTCAAGACCTGGATGTCCAGAGATGTCCCCAATGAAGGACATTCAGCTCCTCAAGCCTAAAGTCCAGTCCCAAACTGGACTCCAGTCTGCAAACTGAGGGTAACCCAACATGTCTCAGGTGCTTCACATCACCTGAGATGTTCTTCTCCCCCATAGGAATGCGGAGAAGATCTTGGGCTACCTGAACACCAACGTGCTGAGCCATGACCTCATCCCACCCCACGTGAACTTTTCCCACCTCACTGCCAAAGACTACCAGGAGATGTACAAGGTGATCATGACAGTGAAGGAAGGACACTTCAAGGAGCTGGGCTTGGACGCCTGTCTGCTGGAGGATGAACTCAACAAGGTACCTAGTGGGTCTCCTAGGAGGACCAGGAGGTCACCTAACCCCATTTCTCTCCCTGTGTCAATTCTGGCCACATCAGGCTGGAAAAGCTACTTCAGAGACTCTCCAGGGATGAGGAATCCACATCTCTGTGGTCTTCTCACAGTGTCCTTCGTGGGGTGGGGGAAGGTCCATGCATAGCAACTCTACCTGGGTCAGCACCACTTCCAGGCTGGGCTTGGGTTGCTTGAGGGGAGACCTGAGGGGAGACCTGAGGGGAGACCTGAGGCACTCAGGGGTTTCAAGGCTCTTCTTGACATGTTTCTTTGTTTCTTCTTCTTTCTCTTCTCTTTCTCTTCTTCCTTCTCTTCTTTCTCTTCTTCTTTTCTTTCTCTTCTTCCTTTCTCCTTCCTTTCTTCTTTCTCTTCTTCTTTCCCTTCTTCATTCTCTTCTTTCCCTTCTTCATTCTCTTCTTTCTCTCCTTTCTCTTCTTTCTCTTCTTTCTCTCCTTTCTCTGTTTCTTTTCTTCTCTGTTCTTTCTCTTATTTTCTTTCTCTTCTTCCTTTCTCCTTCCTTTCTTCTTCTTTCCCTTCTTTCCCTTCTTTCTCTGCTTTCTCTTCTTCCTCTTCTTCCTTTCTCCTTCCTTTCTTCTTTATCTTCTTTCTCTTTCCTTCTCTCTCTTCTTTTCTTCTTTCTCTTCTCCTTTCTCTTCTTTTCTTATTCTTTCTTTTCTCTTCTTTCTCCTTTTATTCTTTCTCTTCTTTTCTTCTTCCTTTATTCTTTATCTTCTTTTCTTCTTCCTTTCTTCTTTCTCCTTTTCTCCTTCTTTCTATATATTTTCTTCTCTCTCTTCTTCTGTTTCTCTTCTTTCTCTTCTCTTATCTTTTCTTATTCTTTCTCTTCTCTTCTTTCTCCTACTTTTCTTCTTCCTTTCTTCTTCTCTCTTCTTTTCTCCTTCTTTTCTTTACTTTCCTTCTTTTTTCTCTTCTTTCTCTTCTTCTTTCTCTTCTTCCTTTCTTCTTTCTTCCTCCCTTCTCCTCTCCTCTCCTCTCCTCTCCTTCTCTTCTCTTCTCTTCTCTTCTCTTCTCTTCTCTTCTCTTCTCTTCTCTTCTCTTCTCTTCTCTTCTCTTCTCTTCTCTTCTCTTCTCTCCTCTCCTCTCCCCTCCTCTCCTCTCCTTTTTCTTCTTTCCTTCTTCTCCTCTCCCCTCCAAAGTCAGTGCAAGGAACTGGCCTGGCCTTCATTGCCTTCACTGAAGCCATGACCCATTTCCCAGCCTCACCCTTCTGGTCTGTCATGTTCTTCCTGATGCTGATCAACCTGGGCCTGGGCAGCATGATAGGAACCATGTCAGGCATCACCACCCCCATCATCGACACCTTCAAGGTGCGCAAGGAAGTGTTCACAGGTGAGGTCCTTTCTCCTGCAACCTCCTGGGGAATGGGTGGAGGGTCCCCCAGCCCTGAGGAGAACAAGGTGGACACGGTGGATGTCTACTGGGACCTTCTCATGAAGGGAATGGACCTCGTGGAGGTGTTGGTGGCCCTCAAATTGTTCTGCTGACCATCTCTGTTTGCTCCTCACAGTTGGTTGCTGCATCTTTGCCTTCGTGGTGGGACTGATCTTTGTGCAGCGCTCGGGGAACTACTTTGTCACCATGTTTGATGATTACTCAGCCACTTTGCCACTCACTGTCGTGGTCATCCTGGAGAACATCGCTGTGGCCTGGATTTATGGCACTAAGAAGTAAGGCTGGGACTCCTGGCTAAAAACACCTCTGGTCATAATGTCATAGTGTGGTCAGTGGTTGGGATGGAGCTTAGAGATCATGCAGCCCCAACCCCCTGCCCTGGGCAGGGACACCTCCCACCAGAGCAGGTTGCTCAAGGCTTTAGCCACCTGGAATGAACATTGCCAAGGCTTGAGCATCCACAACCTCTCTGGGGCAACCACAACCTCCTTGGGGCAACCACAACATCCTTGGGGCAACCACAACCTGCTTTGGGCATCCACAACCTCCTTGGGGCATCCCCAACCTCTTTGAGGCAACCACAACCTCCTTGGGTCATCCTCAGCCTCCTTGGGCAACTAAAACCTCCCTGGGGCAACCACAGTCTCCTTGGGGCAACCACAACCTCCTTGGAGTATCCACAGCCTCCCTGGACAACCTGTGCCAGTGTCTCACCACCCTCACAGGGAAATCTTCTTCTTAATATCTAATCTAACTTTCCCCTTTCAATTTCTCCCCATTCCTCCTTGTCCTGTCCCTGCAGTTCCTACCCAAGAGTCCTCTGCAGCTTCCCTGGAGACCCTTCAGCTCCTGGCAGGTTGCTCTGAGGTCTCCACACAACCTTCTCTTCTCCAGGCTTTTCCATATGGCTTTTTCTCCAGGAGCTCATGCCCCAGGGACCTTATAGACTCAAGAGCTCAGGTCACCTCAATCCTCCTGCCCTGCCCTAGGTGTAACCCAACCACAGGGGCAGGTCCTTCTTGTGGGAATCTCCTGCTGGTTGTGATGCTCTTTAACCCATGATTACCATTGGTTCTGAGGTTCCCATGTCCTTCTGGAAGGAGATGTTGTTCCCCCAAGTCCCTCTTAGAGTTGGCCAGAGCAAAGGAAGTTGTGGCTAGTGCTCATGTGACCTTTGCTTTAGTAGTTATCCACAAGTCCTACAGGCTTGAGGGACACTGAGATGTTCACCTGGATCCACTGGGTTCTTTTTCAGGCTTACCTTGAGTAGAATTTACACCAGGGAGGGAGTTGGAGGGAGTTTCTCATGCAAAGGTTGGGAATGACATGATTCCACCTCTTTTCTTGGCAGATTCATGCAGGAGCTGACAGAAATGTTGGGTTTCAGGCCCTACCAGTTCTATTACTACACCTGGAAGTACGTGTCCCCCATCTGCATGGCTGTGCTGATGACTGCCAGCATCATCCAGTTGGGAGTCAGCCCTCCAGGGTACAGTGCTTGGATCAGAGAGGAGGTAAGCACAGCTCCTGGTCCATCTCCACCCCAACTCCAGTCTGAGCAGGCTGCAGACCATCCTTTCCATCCCTGGCTCACATCCTGCCTTGCTCCTCCTCTGAAAGCAATCAGGGTTGTCCATGGTGCCCAGATGTCTCCATGGGATGGAGTTTGAGTGTGGACCATGGTTGGCTTCCATACCTACGTTCTGTGCCCAGGACCATGTCCTTCCCTTTGGTTTGAACCCACCTTCACGTGGTGTCCCTGAGGAGAAATCTGGCAGAGGCAGCAGGGACTGTGGAGCACTTAGATGTTGTACGTGGTGTGTGTCCACCACCTTTGCTGTCCCAGCCCCTGATCACTAATATCTGTCTCTCCCAAGCTGCTGAGAAGTTCCTTCTCTACTCAGGACCATGTCCTTCCCCTTGGTTTGAACCCACCTATGCCATGTGTTGTCCCTGAGGATGAAGAATGGCAGGAGGTGGTAGGGACCATGTAGAATTTAGGAGATGTTGTACCTGGTGTGTGTCCATCCCCTTTGCTGCCACAGCCCCTTGTCACTAATATCTGTTTCTTCCAGGCTGCTGAGAAGTTCCTCTTCTACCCAACATGGGCCATGGCCATCCTCATCTCTCTGATCATCTTGGCCTCCCTCCCTCTGCCCTTGGTCTTCATCCTCAGGCAGTTCCACCTGGTGTCGGACGGCTCCAACGCCCTCTCTGTCACCTACAAGAAGGGTAGGATGATGAAGGACATCTCCAACTTGGAAGACAACGATGAGACACGTTTCATCCTGAGCAAAGTGCCCAGTGAGACGCCGTCCCCCATGCCCACGCACCGTTCCTACCTGGGGCCTGGGGGCAACTCCCCCATGGAGATGAGCAGTGCTCCCAACGGACGTTACGGGAGTGGTTACCTCTTGGCCAGCACTCCTGAGTCTGAACTGTGATGGTTGCCTGTCCCACCACCCCCACCAGGAGAGGAGCTCCCTGGGGAGTGGGTCCTGCCTCTCCAGGCAACAGGAAAATTCATCACTAAGGAAGCTGAAGAAGAAATCCCTCTACAAAGTCCTTACCCAATGCAGCCATTTCCAAGATGACATGGGATTGAAGGGATTGGCAGGAGGGGCAGGACTCCTCCAACAACCCTGGGCTGGAAGGACCTTCCCTGGGCTCACCAGAGATGCTGCAATATCTTTCCAAGAGTTGTTGTCACACTCAACGGCTCAAACCTGAAGCAAAGAATCTCTTTTCGAAGCAGCTGATGGTTGGAACAAGGACCTGGTGGCAGGTGGAAAGCCAAGCAAGGCTCCCTCCTGTCCCCCAGAGCTCTTCCCTCCCTGTCTCTTGTCCTTTAGCTGGGAGGAGTCATGGCCTTATTCCAACGAGCACAATTAACCCTTGATGTTCAGAGCACAAGAAGGTGCTGTTGTTGTCACCATCATCGTTGTTGTTGTTGTATCTCCTGTAGGTTTTTCTAGCTGTGGACACACCTAAATAATCCCCAGGTTTGGACCAGGGAGCTTCTTGGGGCTGGCTGAGATGCTGGGTGGTGGATCCCTGGAAGCTGTTTGGGTGCCACCAGCATGGGGACAGTGGTTGGGGGTTGTTTGGAGACCTGGAGATGGCCTGAAGGGCTTGGCACACTCCATGGGTTGGTAGTTACCATGCTGAGTGGCAGAAGGAGCTGTGGAGTGAGGCTGGTTTGGATGTGTGAGTGTGTGTAGGGTCTTGGTGGGCTCAGCATGATGGGGAGAATCAGGAGAACTCTCCTGGGATCACTCCTGACACATGGAATGCTCTACTGAACCAAAATCCTTAGTGTGGGGATGATCTCCTCTTGCTCCTCTCTGTAGATGTCCCAGAGGGACAAGCAGAGAAGCTGTGGGACATCCAGTCCTACCACAGTCCTGGTCTAGCTCTCAGGAAACCACCCCTGACCTCCCTCCCTTGCACCCCCAGCCCAGGAGAGCTGGGCAGGGATTCCCTCTGGATGTGCCTCCTCATTTCTCCTTGTGTCCCCTCTGAGCTGGGGCTTGGTGTTGCCTCCTGCAACTCCTCCAAAGCTTCTCCACAGGAGCTTTGGGTGGGACTGACCAGGTTTTGGGGACCACAGGTGTCTGTGGAGCAGCAGCTGTTGGGAGTCAGTGCCAGGTCCCTCTAGCTCTTGATGCAGCCTGGAGAGACCTTGTTGAAGTCCAGGGGTCTCTGTGGTTCCCATCCATGTGTTTTGGGGTCAGATGGATGTGACCTTGTGTTGGTTCTTCCCAGGTTGGGTTGGAAAGGGTTGGATGTCCTAGCTCTGTGGAGCAGCAGCTGTTGGGAGTCAGTGCCTGGGGAGACCTTGTTGGAGCTCTTGTTGGAGTCCAGGGACCTCTTCATGCCCATCCATGTGTTTTGAGATCAGATTGATGTGACCTTGTGTTGGTTGTCCCCAAGTTGGGTTGGATTTCCCAGCTCTGGGTGTCTCCAGGTGGAGAATCCTACACATAGCCAAGCACTTCTGCCAAGGGCACCAGGATAACTTGGCACCTTTCCCCATGGGACATGGGAAGAGCAGATTATTTGCATCCTCTATCCCTCTAAGCACCTTTCTGTGGCCTCCAAACCCTTGGGAGCATCTCATCCTTGGTCCTGCTGAGCTCAAGTCATGCCCAAAGGTATCTCAGGTCAATTTGAAGGCCAAGTTTGGTGTTCTGGCCCAGAGAACTTTCCTCCTCCACTGTCCTGTCAATGGCTTTGCTTCCACCTTGATTCTCCTTCCAGGTGAAGAAGGCAGAAAGTACCTGGTCCATTCACCACATCCCTAACTTCTCAGCAACCCTGGGACCAGGAGGTTCTCCACAGTGACCTCCTATGGCTTCTGATCCTTTATTCCATCCTTCTCCATGGGCTTGGCTGGAGACCTGGACAATTAGCTCAAGCTCTTCATTAACCATTTCTCCAGGAGAAGAATAGTGGTGTGGACAGAACCAAAGCAGCTGAGTGATGGCTCTGAGAGGCACCAGATCCATGTGGTCAGGACCAGCCAAGCTCCTCCTTCCCCATCCCCTCCCATGTCTTTTTCATTCCCCTCCCCATGGAGAAGGACATAGAAATGTCCACATTGCTTTGACTTTTAGAAGGAGAAGCCCAAACTTGGTGGCATTTCCCCATTGTTAGGCAACATGTTCCCTCCTATCCCTTACTGGGTCCATCTTCATCTGACCACCAAAAGAGGATGACCCAAATCATTGCCCAACATCACCTTCCTGAACTTAGGAGATATTGTACCTGCTGTGTGTCCACCACCTTTGCTGTCACAGCCGCTGGACACTGATATCTGTCTCTTCCAAGCTGCTGAGAAGTTCCTTTTCTACCCAACGTGGGCCATGGCCATCCTCATCTCTGATCATCTTGGCTTCCCTCCCTCTGCTCCTGGGCTTCATCTTCTGCCTTCCCTCTGCTCCTAGGCTTCATCTGCTGCCTGTCCTCTGCCCCCTCTGTCCCTGGTCTTCATCCTCAGACAGTTCCACTTGGTCTAAGTTCATGTCCATCCTCAGTTCCACCTCACCTGATGCCCCTGAGCCTGGGGACTGGATTCCCACCATAGCTCCCATGGAGTTACTGGAGCAGGACACCTCCCACAGCTCATCTGCTCCCCTGGTGTGATGCTCCTTGAGCACTGGGGGGAAAGATCCAGCCCTTTGTCTCTCTCCCATCCCATCCATCCCTGGAGGGAAGGATCCAGCCTGGTGTCTCTTCCCCATCCCATTGACCCTGGGAGGAAGGATCCAGTCCTGTCTCTTTCCCATCCCATTGACCATGAGGGGAAGGAACCAGCCCTGTGTCTCTTCCATCCCTGGGGGGAAGGATCTAGCTCCATGCCTCTCCCACCCATGGGGGGAAGGATCCAGCCCTGTGTCTCTCCTACCCATGGGGAGAAGGATCCAGTCCTGTGTCTCTTCCATCCCTGGGGAGAAAAATCCATCTCCAAGACTCTCCCACTCATGGGGAGAAGGATCCAACTCCATGACTCTCCCACCCATGGGGGGAAGGATCCAGTCCTGTGTCTCTCCCACCCATGGGGGCAAGGATCCAGCTCCATGACTCTCCCACCCATGGGGAGAAGGATCCAACCCTGTGTCTCTCCCACCCATGGGGAGAAGGTTCAAGTTGCATGACTCTCCCACCCATGGGGGGAAGGATCCAGCTCCATGATTCTCCCATCCATGGGGGAAGGATCCAGTCCTGTGTCTCTTCCATCCCTGGGGAGAAAGATCCATCTCCATGACTCTTCCATCCCTGGGGGGAAGGATCCATCTCCAAGACTCTCCCAACTATGGAGAGAAGGATCCAACTCCATGACTCCCACCCATGGGGGAAAGGATCCATCCTTTTCTCTCTCCCACCCATGGGGGGAAGGATCCAGTCCCGTCTCTCTCCCACTCATGGGGGAAAGGATCCATCCTTGTCTCTCTCCCACCCATGAGGGGAAGGATCCAGTCCTGTCTCTCTCCCACCCATGGGGGGAAGGATCCAGCTCCAAGACTCTCCCACCCATGGAGAGAAGGATCCATCCTTGTCTCTCTCCCATCCCTGGATGGAAGGCTCCATCCTTATCTCTCTCCCACCCCATTCCCAATCCAGATGTGGAGGTATTCCCTTCCCTCCCTTCTTCTTGCAGCATCCCCAAGAGGCAAAAATCCCTAAGAAAGCAACAAGAAGAGAGAAAAACTCTATTATATATATACATATCTATATCAAATCTCTCCGGGGAGAGGCG